AACCTTGAAATAGTTTCTAAAGAGACAGAATTGGCAACTAACAAAGAGAAGATGTTTTTGCTTTGGGGGGGAAATAAAAGAAACAGGCAAATAATTTTTAGTTTTTCAAAGTTCATTTATGCTCACATTAGAAATGGGAAATATCATGTGGGTAAATATGCATATGGAATTAGTATTAGTTGTCTGTTAATGTATAATGAATTACCACAAATGGCCCTGGCTTACAGCAGCACAAATGTGTATGTGCTGCAGTTCTGTGGGTGAGGAGGCCTGGTGGGTTCAGCTGGATTCACTGCTCAGAATCTCACAAGGCCAAAATCATGGTGTCAGTTGGGCTGGGCTCTAATCTGGAAGCTCCAAGGAAGAATCTGTTTTCAAACTCATTCCAGTTGTTTCTATAATCCAGGTTCTTGTGGTTGTAAGACTGAGATCCCAAATTTCTTGTCAGCTGCTGGCCAGGGCTTCCCTCAGCTCTAGGGGCCACCCCTTCGGTCCCACATGACCCCCACCAGCCCCACAGCAGCAATGACACTCACTAGCGCCCTTCTCCTGCTTCAGACCTCTCTGGCTCCCCTTCTGCCTTCTTCATGTGCCTTTTAAAGGGCTTGTGTAATTAGATCGGGCCTCCTAGATAACTTTTGTGTTTTAAATTCAACTGACCGAGGATATTTATCACAACTATAAAATCTCTTTATAGTACATCATTTTGTTTCTCAAGGTAGCACTGCACTCTCTGGGTCAATGTTGGATTCAGTAACCAGGAGACAGGAATTTTGGGGAGGAAAGCCAGATTGAGAGTTCTGCCCAGCACAGAACCAGATTAGAATGATTTGGAGTACTCCGGCGTGAAGCAACCAAATGCACTTCATGTTGCATTTGAGGCCCAGAACTAAGTATCAAAAATGACAACTATGTACTCACAGCACGTGGTTGGTGGGAGATAGAATCTCATTTAAAAATAATTGTGCAGGGCAAGTTTTGCAGATCAGCTTCTTGGAGAAGATGCTGGGCTGTATCCTGTAGATTGTTAAGCCAAAAAAGGGTACATTAGACAAAGGAGCAACATGAACAAAGGCCTAGTGGTGACAACATGGGTTGGGGAAGTGGGTTCTATAAACTCCATGATATTTCTGGAACTTTCAAGTGTGGGGTGGGCATGGCTGTAGCTGAGGCAAAATAGGGCCTTTTGTTTTCCCTTCTAAGGATCTCGGTCCTTTATTCTGTAGGTAAAGAAGAACCATTAAATAGTTTAATGCAGGAATGAGCCAACAGGATCATATTGAAAACAAATCACTTGGAAATTACATGGGAGACTTGATTGACCAGAATCAATCTAGATAGAATAACCATTTAGGAGGCTTTATAATAGCTGAACAATATCAAAGGCGTGGAGGGAAGAGATGGGAAGTAACTGGACTACTGAGAGAAGGAACTTGGATGCAAGCAGTATTTTAGAAGTAAAACTGACAGAACTCAATCACTGAGTGAATTTGGACCAGGAAAAGAGGCTATGAAAGGAATCAAAAGTCAGGTTTCTAATATGAGCTATTTGGAATATGGTAGAGCCATTAGTTAAGACAGGGCATATAGTATGACTGAGAGGAGTTAATGGATGGAGTTGATGAGCCTGTGGGAATTCAGTAGGAAAGAAAAATCCATATAATTTTTCCTTCATAACATCATTAAATGCTCAGTAGTACTTACTATAGACCAGAATATTAAGGTGTAGGACAGTATTTACTGTCCAGCAGCTCACAGTTCACCAGACTGACCGATACCTAGGGAGGTAACTATAAAGATAATATAAACAGGTGCCTGGTGATGGCACAGAGTACGGGAAATTCTGGAATCGGTGGATGAGCAGCTCCTCATTCTGCTGCAGGGGCCAAGAAGGATTTCTTGGAGAAAGTGACTGAAGGACTAAGTCTCAGAGGACATGTTGGGCAAGTAACCCGAGAGATAGGAGAAGTTGTAGGTTTTTGTGTGCATCACTGGGACCACGGTGGTGCCTGAGGTGGGAGCCCATGCTGACGTGGCAGTCAGCAGCGCTCATGCATACCGTTTATTCATGCTTGCTTTCCTGGTCTGCAACAGCAGTGGTTCAGAAGGTGGATATTTGAGCTGCTTCCTGGGGAGCTCATAATTGTTTCTTTGGCTACAGGATGAGCACTTCTCACCCTTACTTTAAGACTTCATGTCCTGAATCCAGGCAACATCAGACAGCTTCAGGCCCCAACATCCGAGTCTTCTTTCTACTCTAACTTTGTTTGGTTTTTCTGTTGTTGCTCTCATTTAAGATTGTTCTTTTTTTTTTATTTTCCTTTCAGTTAAAGGTGGTCTTTTCTGTAGACCACAGAATTTGGAGGCCCAGCCCACATAAAAGGATGTATGCTTTTGAAAAATCCAATCACCCTTCCATATTTTGCCAGCCAGCCTCTTTCAGTACCAAAAATTCTGCAACTCAAAGATAATGCCTCTGAATGCACGGTGCTGGTGTATTTGGATATCCCCATGCAAAAGAATGGAGTCAGACCCCTGACTCACACAATGCACCAAGTTAATTCAAGAGGGATTATACACCTAAATGTGAGAGGTAGAACTGTAAGACTCATAAGAGAAAACATAAGTGTAAATATTTGAGATCTTGGGCTAAACAACAGTTTCTTCATATGACATCAAAAGCACACACAAAATAAGAGATATATTGGACTCACAAAAATTAAAATTGTTGGTGCTGCAAATGGTGGCATCAGAAAAACTAAAAAGACAGTCCACAGAACTAGAGAAGATATTTGCAAATTCTATATCTGATAGGGACTTTTATCCAGAATATATAGAACTCATACAATTCAATAATAAAAAGACCAATGGCCTAATTTAAGGATGAGCAAAGGATGTGAATAGACATTTTTCCAAGAATGTATGCAAATGGTCAATTAGCACATGAGAAAATATTTAACATCATTAGTCATTAGGGAAATTACAAAAAAAAACTCACAATAGAATTCTGCATTACACCAGCTAGGATGGCTGTAATCAAATATGACCTAGCAGTCCCACTCGTAGGAAGATAACCTAGTGAAACTGAAAACATATCCACAAAAAAATTTGCACAGGAATGTTCATAGCAGCTAAAAAGTAGAGAAAACCCAAATGCACACCGACTGATAATAGGCAAATACAATGTATCCCCATATGGTGAAGTATTAGCCACAAAAAGGAATGACGTATTAATGGATACATGTTTCAATATGAATGGACCTTGGAAACATTATGCTGACTGAAAAACCCGAAACAAAAGGCCAGATATTGTATCATTCCATTTATGTGAAATATCCAGAGCAGGCAAACCTGTAGAGACGGAAATTAAAGTAGTGGTTACTGGGGCTGGAGGTGGGAGTGGATAGGGAGTGAAGGCTAAGGGTATGGGGTTTTGTGAGTGTGTGCTGGTGATAAGGTTCTGGGATTCTATCATGGTGATGTGGTGCAATCTCGTGAGGGGACCAAAAACCATTGAATTGTATACTTTAAGAAGGTAAATTGTATGGCATGTTAGTTGTATGTCAATAAGATGTTTTAAAAAGTAATTTTTTAAGTTAGGTTATCTTTCCCTGTTTTAAAAATATGGGGAGCAGGGGACTTTTTAGTACTGCAGATGGGTGACTCAGATGTCTGCCTCTTTCCAGTGAACAACCAGTTAGAAGGTGGACTCAGAGTTTTGCTAGTCCTGACCAAAGAAGCACAAGAAAAGGCACACTTAAAAGGGATGGTATCCTGAGGGACCCTGGGTAGCCAGGAGGAAACCCAAAGGTGCAGATACTTGAGAAAGGGGAGACAAGGTCCTGCTTATGAAGACAGATGTAGGTAATGAAATTATTCATAAGGGCTGTTAACTTTAGCTGCTTGATACCTTTGCTATTCCTAGCTCCATCTGGGATTATTATGCCTTATATTGTCTTCAAGCCCCAGTGAAAAGAACGCCTGTGAGGTTCAGTGAGGCTCCAACACTGATTGAACACATGCGTATACGAGTCGCACTGTGCTCTTCCTTGGATTATAAAAATGCATGTCACACTCTGCCTTCACAGTGCTTATGGTCCTATGTCTTAGTGATAACGAAGCCATAAGAAAGACAGTGAAACAAGGCAAACACAAAAATAATAAGGCTATTAGTTTCTTTAAAGATTTTATTTATTTTTTGAAGAGAAGGTAAGGGAGGGAGAAAGACAGGGAGAGGAACAACGATACTCAAGAGAAACACTGATCAGTTGCCTTTCTCATGCCCCCAACTGGGCACTTGGCCCATACCCCAGGCATGTGCCCTGACCGGGAATCGAACTGGCAACCCTTTGATTCGCAGGCTGGAGCCTAACCCACTGAGGCTATTAGTTTGAATGTCTAGTGGCTATGTGGCAGATAAGGGCAACTTCTGGTATATGATAAATATAAAATGCACTATAGGTTTTAAGAAATCTCAGTTTACCCATGATGAGGTATTTGAAATTTTATTACTGCAAAATATAATATAAGGCAAGATGTAGAGACTCCTCAGGTTTGCAGCAGGTTCACAAGGAGAAACAAATGCTTTCTGCATATATTTGATCAGAGAGTGGTAGGAGAGGCTACTTCTGTTAGTGAGATATGTTTATTCCAGTATTTGTGTCAAATTTTGTGCTGGATACAAGGGGACGTCTTTTCACCTTGGAAGAAGAGATGCCAGCTGCAGTAACCAACTGGAAAGGCTGCTTCATTTTGCCAGTGGTTGGGAGGGCAGAAAGATTTATTTGTGTGTGGCCTTTATTCCATCAGGAACAAATGTGTTCGTTCAAGTCACTACTTGGAAACAATAGTCAGGTGATTAGTAAAAGAATTACACCTGGCATTCTAATGAGTCCACAATACAAGTGTTGGGGAACTTAAACAGGAACTTGACAGGAAAGTAAAGGCTTATATTCAATAAAAGAGCTTCAGTAATTTTCTTATCTTTTTCAATTCTGTAGCCGACATCAATTTGGAGATATCAAAGCCTTTGAAAGCAAACCTGAGTTTTACCAAGCTGGATCAGATAAACCATTTTTTAAAGAAGATAAAAAGTGCACACAGCAAAGAGACTTCAACGCTGTCGGACACCATGCTGCATCAGGATGAGCTTCCAGCCTCCAAATGTTACCGTGGAAAGTTGTCTAAACCCAGAGGTCATGGTGATGGAGCACAGAAAGTTCCATTTCAAGAAAACATGTGGAGAACTGTTTCCTGCTTTCAGAAAATTTCTGTGCATACTACTCAGATTGTGGTCTCCATGGAAACTGTCCCCCATCCTAACAAACCATGCCTGTTAGCATCTTTATCAACCCTCAGTGGAAGCCTTAATGTTAAAGCAGCACAAAAAGTACCTGGTAAGTTACAGAAAAGGGGAGGGGGAGAGGGCAGCATGACCTGTTAACATCTGAAAATGTGTGATTTTGATGATTTGCATCATTTGGAGGTTAAAAGTTATAAGGGCCATTAGAGATGGGGACATTTCTGTTTTGCAACTTTATTTTAGTGAAAATTTTATAACAAATCCTTTGAGCTTACAAATTTCAATGCCCTAAACTTAACTGTTCCTATCCACTTCTTCAGATGTGTTCCTACAAATGTCTTTAAAACTGTTCATTCCTAAATTTCTCTTTCCTGAAACAGCTGTAGTGTGGAACAACAAGAAATGGTTGGTTTTATGAACCATTCAAGTAAGTGGTTTTCAGAGTGTGGTCTCAGAACCAACAGCTTAGCATCACCTGAGAACCTGTTAGAAATGCAAATCCTCAGACTATTCCTCTGACCTACTGAATCAGAAACTCTGGGCATGGAGCCCAGAAATCTGTGTTTCAAAAGCCATACGGGTGATTCCAGTGCATTGCATTAAGTCACTGGTAACAATTTACATTAACAAGAGAAATTGCTCTAGTGGCAGATATGCTACACAAGGTGTAACAGAAGTCAGGGTTCCACTCTGCAAGGACGGTGCCACTGAGGATTCTCAGGCAGCAGCGCCTGGTGAGGAAAGGCCATGCTCCTGTACCCAGCCTTTCCAGGAGAGGCATGGACTCTGCAAGCGGACTGTCTCTGATGGGTGCAGAGGGGAGAAATGAACAGGCAGCGACATCTACATTTTCTTCTTTTGTAACCATGACTAAATTGTTACGTGCTTTTTCACACTGAATCAAAAAGGGTAGGCAGAAGGAATGTGATGGGGGAAGGAAAAGACAAGGCACAGGTGGGAAGTAACAGTTTTCAGTCACTAAAATTGCTACTGTAAAAGTTCAGGGCACAATGCCAGAAATTGTATTTTGAAAGTAAAAGTAGCGAAAGGGAAACGGTTTTTTTCCACATTAATTTGCAGGAAAGATTTGGGGGTGGAAGGGGATAAAGTAAATCCTGAAACTATATGCAACTTAGTGGCTTATTAAAAAGTAATTAAGTGGCAGCTGGAGACTAACTATAACTTTGTTCCATATAGCCACTTTGGACACAGTAGTTTAAGAGATAAAGAAAAAAGTTTTATAGTTGAGAAGTATGGATGTTAGGCCAAAAAATAGATGATTTCTTTCTTTCTCACCAGAAATATTTGTGACCAAGCCAACTAAAATCACTATTTTTTAAATTGTCTTTAAAGTTAGAAATGAAAAATGTTGGGTCCATGAGACATGAAAGATTATGACACATGGAGGCCACAATGTCTGATTTGTCCACAAGTAAATCGCAAACCGGACAACATGGGGCCGTCTCCGTGCCTTTCCACTACACCTTCGCCGTATAGCAGGGGAAGGTTGGGGCTCAAGCAGAATGAAGGAATCTAAATTTATTGTGCTAAATTCTTGGCCCTTTTCCTTTTTCAGCCTCACTTCTTGCTTTATTCATTAGCTGTTCATGTTTTATCCGCATTTAATGGTGTCTATCCTTGCAAGCATCTCTAAAATATAATTAAAATCCTCTCACTGAGCAATACAAGGTAGTAGACTCATTCTGTTATGCAACTTGCTTTTTCCCTTTCACACTAGAGAAACTACATACCCCTATTTCTTTTGCAATTATGCTCTTCAATCTAGGTAGACACTGAGGTAGAAACTAGCGCTTTGACTAAGACGTAAGTTATGCAACTCTAATTGTGGTATTTAGCAAATCTTCTGAAATAGTTACTGGTGTCAACAAAACCAAAATAGATTGAAGTTAGCCATTTAAAAGGAACAATTTTATTATGAGAGCATAATAAACACCAAATCTGTTTTCTCTACATTTCTGCTTAGTGTAATGGCATGCTCAAACGTTTTAAGATAACCAAGTCAGCAAAATAATAATAAATTATAATTAAGTGAAATAATATTGTGTTAAGTTCTAGCTATTGCTGAAGGCTGATTTCTAGGAAATTATAATTGAGAGTTTACTACATATTTTTTAAAATTGATTTTTTTATTCTTAACTAAGCAAACCTTTTTTAAAGTAAAATATAATTTAAACTTTGTTCATTTCATTATGTAGTTAAATATCTTAAAAATTCTTGTTTTGCAACTTGGATGAAATATATGTAATTATATACTTGAAGTATATATATTTTATAACTGGTAAAAAGTATCCAACACCAAAAAAAAAACCCTCTTACCAGTAGTCATATTTCATATTTTTCAAATGACATTGTTCTGCATGCAACCAAAATTTTTATAGTATATCTTTGAGCTCAACAGTTAATGTCAGATTTTTATAGTTTGAATCTAATACAGAAATACTTAACTGTGTCTTTGATTTTATAGTTTATATAACTATTGTGACCATCTGCAGCAGCTGCACTTTTCAAATTATTTGCTGAACCAAATTGAGCACAGTGACAAAAGTAGTCATCTCAGATGTACTGTTAAACAGAGAGAGAAAGAGGAGCATTGCCTTGGTGCAGTATAGCCATCTGCTGTGCAGATGTTATTGTATAGAATGACTGAAGATAAAATAATTGTAGAAAATTTTCATTAAAACCTCAACAATTTGCACTTGTTTATGCGAATCTGCATAACTCCCCAATGAGACAACACACTTGGGGTTTCTTTGGTTCTCACTCACTTTCTCTTTGATCCTTTTTGATGTGCTGACTTTAATAAACACAGTCAAAAACACTGTGCAAAAACATCATGGAAAAAACTACAAAGGAACAATTATAGCAGCAGAAACGACTCTAATCCCTAACTTACGCAAGCTATTTTTAGTGAAATATTTTTTTTAACACTCTTTATGTGACAATGTTATATAAACAGGGTAAAATGGTCCTTTCCAGATGAGTTTTAATTTAGGAGCTGAAATACATTTGTAATGCTAGAGGAATCTTATGTTCTAAGTAATATTTAGGGAAACACAATTGAGAATGTGTTGTAGGCATGTTTCCTCACTTCTGAAAGGTACAAAAATATTTCGGCTCACCTAATTATATTTTTTATCATTTAACTGTCATAAGCTTATGGGAGGTGCACGGGAAAGGGGAGCAATAAAGGAGTAAAGGGGGAAAGTTGGTTTTCTGCCCACGACGTTGTCAATATGTTTAAACCTGAAATGCTTTCGTATTCATTTACTGTTTTTTGCAATGGAAGATGTACAGATTACTCACTGAAATGTGTTCTTTGTTTGAAACAAAATGAAATGGTTAAGTATTTTCCACTTAAAAAAAAGTCTATGAGTTTTTCTTAGTCTGCTGTACTGTTCTGCAATCTTCAACTATGAGAGTTTCAAGGGACTTGATTTTTTTTTTAATTCCACTCTGCAGATGCTAGTGTAACAATGAGTTACAATAGCCTAACTTGTATTTCTGCTAGAATACTTACATTCTCCCATATGTCTTTGGGAAAAGGGCCCTAAAGTTGATTTTAGTAAATGTAATGCTTGTATTTTTAAGGTTGGTGTATAATACTAAAAAAAAAAAACAAAAACAAAAACCTGTGATTGTACTATTATCAGTAAGAAAATGAATCTCATTTGGAAATTATATCTTATTTTCTGAATCACTTTCAAGGCAGGTAGTAGTCTTCTGCCCTCCATTAAATCCATCCCATTCTGTAGTATGTTCTTTTTAAAAATAGCCCGTTTCCCCCCACATGGACGTTTGAAGTATGCCTCTTTGGAGAAGCCATAAGTATGTAGCCATAAATTCTGAGCTAGTAGTGTAGCACTTTCCACGGGCAGCGTGGGGAGTGAGCTGCAGACTTTAGCTCCCCTTGTCAGAGTAAATTATGGCTCTATTAGGGCGGCACTCCTTAGATTTCAGCAAACAAGGGCGCACAACTCAGGCTATGAAATAGCTGTGCTTCAGGCTTCCTTGCTGTTTCCCAGGGGCACTCAGATTAGCAATCTCCATGTAGATTAAGGGAAAGGGGAATAGGATGTGAACAGATTAGGTAGCACAAAGGATCTGGGGAAGAGCCTGAGTGAGGCCATCTTGTCTGGTATTTTGGTCAGAATTGGAAAAAGTTTCAGGGGTCCCCTTTCCAAAGGAACTTTCCATCCATGCAGAAAGCAATGAGTTGAACTCCTTCTAGTCAAAGAGCCCTGATTTAAATAACTTTCACTACCCCACCCTCTATAATCCAGATCTACTTATCTTTGTGTATAAACAAAAATAGGGGGAAAGCATAACCATATTATTTTTCATGTATACAAATGTATCTTCTCATGTTCATTGAATTCAGGACCAATAAGATATAAAGAACCTAAAGTTCCTTTTCATGCTGAAAACTGAAACTGGGCCATTAATTGATAAAAGTGGGGCTCTAGCTTTTCATTACGTAGTTAACAGAATCTCTGGAGGAAAATCTCTTAAGGCATTGTGGCAGGCAGGGGATGCTCCAGAAATGCAGGTACACCCGAGTGGAAATAAAACATTAAATTAGATATGACTGCCTAAAATAATATGTTCCAATAAGAAGCCATTTACAACACCCCAAAGACTTTTGTTACTTTCAGAAAGAAATAGTACTTCTTCCGAATGCTTCAACACTAGGAAATGAATTCTCTGACAGTTAAAGCCAGAGGACAGACTTAATTTTCAGCAGCCACTGAGGACTGAAGTGGAAGTACAGCTGGTAGACAGCTAGACAGATCACTAACGGACCTTGATGAATATTGGGTGTGCACATCAGGGTCTTGTCATTTTTGACACTGTGTCCCAAGTAGCTTAAACCCAGCATTGGAGGAAAGGTAGAGACCTCATTGAGCGTAACATCTGGGATTTTATTTGTCATTTTGGCATACTTTGCAAGCGCAAAAGAAAGAGTAAAAGGGGATTATCTTGACAATGAAATGAGTTACTGAATCTTGTGCTAATGAAAAGCAGAGGAATTCTAATGCCTTTCTATAGTCCCTGAGGTAGAGGTGCGTTTATAGT